TGTCGTCTGCAACATTGGTAAATAACCCACTTCTTACAGAAGATGCGAGTATCTGACGAAGGGCTTGTTTACAGGTCTGCAGCTGATGAAGCTGTCTGGCGGGAAGTTTGTCGCGGCGACGCATCGCGTGAACACCCTGGGGATTGACACGGATCGGTCAGTGTACCCCGCCTACTCAGCGTTCCCGCTTAACTAACCCTACGCTCGCATAGCTACACCATTCCATACGCGCTCTCCACTCGACTCGAGAAGCCTGTGGTGCCTCTGCCGAAGTTCTCACTCGGTGACGCTACCAAGTACGATGTTCCTCCGAATCCCAAGCTTGTGAAGCTGCTAAGCGTTTCGGACCCGCTGGTACGCGGCGGTTACGCCTGGCTGACGCTATTCCCGGCGGCTGCGAAGAAGCTGTACCCGAAGGAGTGGGCTGAGGCTAAGGAGATGGGTATCCTCTGAGTAATGATCGTACTATCTATTCATCTTCGTGGTTAGAAATTGTATTGCTATGTTGTGCTTTGTACCTGTACTTCCACGTGTCCATCCTCCAGTGTAATATCTCGCGAATTACGCGTACAATACATCATGAAACAGCAGCTGACTATGGAACAAGGACGTCTACTACCACGAACCACTACACGCGCGAAGCTCAAGTGCGTCTGGCATCATAATACGAGGGGTTTTAATCTCAACCAGGCCGCGGCCGTAGATTAGTTGATTGTTATTAGATGCCAGAGGTAGCCAGTGCGTTCCTAGACCTCGCGGGTTAAGACTAAGAATATGGATTGGCAGGGGCCACCACAGTCAATGTGAATGTACTCCATGTTGTCAGGTACGTCGCAGTGGCGGCACAGAGCACAATTTTCGAGGTTTCCTTCTGCTAGAAACTGTCTACTCAGTACGCTTTGTGCACGTTCTTCCAGAGCCAGTACGCCCAGACCCTTCTCGAGAAATCTTTCCCTCGAAGAGCGCGCCATATCGCTGAGTCCCGGCAAGAAGATTAAGTATAGACCTACTGGCAACATCATAGATTGTACAGGGGATTCTTCTGTGGGATAGTTTTCAAATAAGAAAGAAGATACGCTGGAGAAGGTGGGACCCTCCTCAGCCGATACGCATGTTCGCTGACGTGCACGCATGAGCTAATACGGGCACAGCCTTGAGCAAAAGGTGATACACACATGTCCGAGAGCACGCTGCGCACCAGGCCCTGTATCCTCGCCAGGTGTTGTTGTGCGACATGGGTGCTATTTCTTAACTCATCCTGGGGATTTTGCTCGCCTGCGGCTAACGAAGTGTCGGGTAGAGCTAGAGAGGCAAACGGCAAGAACCCAGGTGAGACGTTGCTAAGGTCCAAAGGCCCGTATAGCGATGTTTGGCCGCTGGATGTCGAAAACCAGGTTGTGGTCGGCGGGGAGGCCGCACTGATGGCGGGGTTGATTAGCGCCTTCCCGAAGCTCATGACCCCGGGTACTTCGCATCGCTCACCGCGGCGTAAAGGGACAGCACGATGATATACTCTGCAAGCCATGCTGACAGGGGGGAGCGATTATATCACACATATTATGGCTGTCCTCATAGGGGGTGCTCAGACGAAGCGACCTGAAGAGATAAGGGCGGAAACATCGGGGCCAGGCTCGCGAATGTCATTAGCTGTCCAAGACGCTATTGCCCCTCCGCTAGGGTGCGAATACGAACCTGCCGCATGCTACTTTACAAGGGTGCTGCTTGCAAAAACCAGGCATGTTGTGATGGCGCCCCTGGCTAGAGAGAAGCGAGGGGATCTCTGTTACTGTTAGAGTACCAACACTACTAAGTCGAATGTTTAAACTGCCATTCTATATCGCCCACGCCAATATGTAGAATAACCAAGAGTAAGAGTTGTACAAAACTTGGGACTGTGTCGTGTATCGGCCGGATCTTCGCGATGAGCAACGAGAGCAGGGCGAAGACCTTCAAGTTGTATGTGCGTCCCATCTCCGTTCACATCTTATTCGCGAAGAAACCGTTGTTCGAGATGACGGAGGAGCCTCTAAGTAACCCGGCAAGGGGTGACAGGTTCCCCGTCCGCTCAAACATGAGAGAACCTGGCGCGACCTCGGCCTAGGACAGCTCGTGCATACAGAGCTGAATGCTGGACAGCAAGTAGAGGATCGCGAGCTAGGTGACATGCTTGCCCTTGTCTAGCTTCTTTGTGGTCGCAAAGTCGTCCGCGTCGCCAGCGTTGCGGCCGCCAAGGTAGTGTGGGCCACTGGCCTAGCGGACAGCGAGGTGAGATACTCGACGACAATGCTCGGGTGCTTGACGACATTAGTATTGATCTGGTCTTTGCCACACCTGACGGGACGCAGGTTCTACCCTCGTCCAGCATTGCGCTGAGGAGCCTTATCCTTGCCCCAGAGATGTTGCGGTGTTCGTCGTTGAGCCCTCGACTTGGAGCTCACTCGGCTCGAATGCGGCGCAAACTTCGCCGGGATCGAGCGAGGCGATGTGGAGCATGGGACCTCGGCAGCATTATTCCGGAGTCACTTCTCGTCGTGACCACCAGCGTTACGAACGATATTTTGAGTGTCGTAAGTTAGATGCGTCCGCCCTACCAAACATAAGGTTGGCTTATGAGTAGTGTCAAAGAGAATTACGGAAATAGCCTGGTCTCGTTTACGCTGAACCCAGTCCCGAGGACGTGATAAGGCGCACAATAACGTTCGAGGATATCCGAAAACTCGGACACAGTACCGACCAGAGACGGACGCGACAAGCGCGTGCAGCCTGTCCGACTGTAAGCATCACGGGGCGCCGCAGCGATGCTACGCCAGAGTTGAGTGATGAGGAAGTTTGAATTGAACGAGTACGTGATGCGCCGCCAGAGATGGAAGCGTATGGACCATGAGGTGCCGCAGCGACGTCAAGGCAGAGCTGCGCGGAAAATTTCAGGTTGGATGAGTACGCGGTGGGCACGCGGCTTTGCCGTTTGAGCAGGTTGTACAATCGCAGGATAATGATGTACGGCGCGACGTGGTCAAAGGTGATCCAACCTAGGAACTGTGAACGAGAAACTATCAGACGGTGTTTAATCCTGTCGAAGACGCTGTGAAAGAAGTTGAAATAGTGGAGAGCGGCGACTGGAGTTCCCTGTCGACGTGGATGTGAACATCAGACAAACTATGTCATCCGACGAGACGGGGCGGGCTGCCATGGGACCTAGATCGAAGCTAAGTCATCAGCATCGATGAGATACTTGATATTACGTTGGAGATAAGAATGAAGCGTCAGAAGATGCTTAAGATATGGTTAGAGTGGCTCAGGCGCAAAGGCGACGGCCAGACGGATATTTCAGCTATGCGAATGCTGCGGTCACCCGCGACTTACAAACGAGGCCACTATGCCATTTGCAGAAGACGCACCCAGGACATGTGAACATGACATTTGTCGTCTTCAAA